TCTTCATTAACACTTTAACACTAACTACCACAGTGCCACTTGCCTGACCAGCCAGTCTCTTCTACAATCTGTTAGAATCAAGAAGGGTCTGGAATCGGATCATAGAGTGTGAAAAAAATCATCTCTCGAAAATTGTCATATCTTTCAAAACAAAATGTATGACTTCTTTTACCTGAGATACAGTAGTTTGGTAGCCAGCCTGGCACCAACCAGTGCTCAATTTTATTTCTCTCCAGCAACTAGGTCAGGAATCGGAATACACTGGACGGTTTGCAAGAACCCTGGAAGTTGTAGACCTCCCACCAGCCAATCAGAGAAGAGCTGTGAAGCCATGACCTCAAACTCAAGCGCCTGTCTGGGTCCCTTTTGTGGTACAGCACAACAGTAAACAAAGTGGTCAAGATGGATGTAGACCAGTGCTTCTCAAATAGTGGGGCGCGTTTGACCTCGGGGGAGCATGCTTTTTTATTTTTTTATTTAGATTTTTTTTTACTGTCTTAAGGGCCGTTCACACCAAACCGTCAAAAAACGCCTTGACGCCTCTATTTGGAGCCTTTGCATTTGAGTTTAGACGCCCCCGACGCGCATCTTTGACGCCGTGGACGAACGGGACAAAAATACTTGACGCGCGTCCGTTGCCCTGGAAACAAGAGCCCGGTCCCGCTCTTTTCCCGAAACAATGTCAGACCAGACTGAGAGAGTGTTTTTATGACATAAAACATCAAAGGAGGAGATCGGGTCGACGACTTGGGCGTATATATATTTCTACTCCGCTAATGACACTGGATCAGTCCCGGTCTAGTCCTGGTCTAATACCCGGTCTGGTCCTGGTCTAATCACGGTCTAGTCCCGGTCTAGTCCTGGTCTAATCACGGTCTAGTCCCGGTCTGGTCCCGGTCTAGTCCCGGTCTAGCCCTGGTCTAATCACGGTCTAGTCCCGGTCTAGTCCTTGTTTAGTCTCGGTCTAGTCTCTCGGTCTAGTCTCGGTCTAGTCCTGGTCCGGTCCTGGTGTATTCCTCGCGATCGGCTCGGTGATTGTGGTGTATATATTTATTCTCCGTTCATGTTTGTGGTTCTCGTTCTGGTTCTCGGGTCTTGCTTCCTGATAATAACGTCGCTGCGTCTCTGGATACTCGTCCCTGATTGGTTGACGCGGCGCGTCTGACGCGAAAAGTTCAGCATTTTCAACTTCTTGACGCTGACGCCTTGGACGCGCGTCTTGGCCGCTGACGCCAAAACGCTGAAGACGCGCCGCGCTGACGCCAGATTCGCGCCGCGCTGACGCCGAAAACGCGCCGCAAAAACGCAGGACGCTCTAGTCGCGCGTCCACATAGACTTTACATAGAAAGTGGACGCTTTGACGCTTTGGTCTGAACGGGCCTTTAGAATAAAGTGCAATTGCACTTCCACTACATTAGGGGGCAGTGGCGCTCTCATTGGCAGAGTGTGCGCAGGGAGCATTCGCTCGGTGGTGTAGGAGTTTTTGTTTGCACTGAGCATGCGCGCTTTGCACACAGCACAGAGTTTGAGTATGAAGTGTAGACACGAAGTGTAGCAGACCTCAAGTGACACCATGAAAACATATTTAACAGGGATGAGAAGACAGGCGGAGAGAGACGGAGATAAAGAGACAAACGAAAATCTCCCGAAAGCTAAGACGAGGAAATATGACGAAGCATATGTAGCGCTTGGCTTCACTGTGACTACGGTGGGAGACGAGGAAAGACCGGTGTGCTTACTGCGTCTAAAAATGTTGGCAGCCGACAGCATGAAGCCCAATAAATTAAGGCGTCACTTAAATACATTACACCCCAATCACTCTGATAAGCCGCTTGAGATTTTTCAGCGAAAACGTGCCGAATATTGCCGACAATCATCCCGCTTTGTGACTGCTACTTCAGTAAACCAGCGAGCGTTGTTGGCGTCATATAAGGTGGCAGTGTTACGCACAGGTGTACTTATAACAATTTTATAGACAAATGATACTGTTTATAGCAGGGGTCTCAAACTCAAATTACCTGGGGGCCACATTAGATAAAGTCTGAGTGAGGCTGGGCCGCATTGAGTATTCGATAAATAGCGGTTGCACGGGGAAAAAAGAGAGAGAAAGAACAACATGCAACACTTTCTTAATCTTTAATAACAGTTCAGAACATGAAAATGTATTTAGAACGTAAGTTTAAACTAATACGTCTACTCTTCTTCTTTTACCTTCTCCTTGCTGGTTGAAACCTGGCTACGCTTCATCTTGTACAGCTGAGAGATATTTGGCTTGCAGGAGGAAGCATATGAGATCCTCAGGATAGATTGAAGATGCTCATCAGTGAGCCTTGACCTGTATTAGGTGCTTTCACACCGACAGTATTTGGTGCGCACCAAACGGTCCATTCGAACCAGAAGTGGTTAGCTCGGTTCGTTTGCGTTGGTGTGAAAGCTTCAATCGGACTCGGACCCGAACCAAATCAAACCAACCTCAAAAAAGAGGTGGTCTCGGTTCACTTGAATCCGCACCCAAATGACCAACTTTGGTGCGGTTCCTCTGGTGTGAACGTGAACCCGGTCCAAACCATAGACAGCAGGTCCAAACGAACTATTCTAGAGATGCATCATGGGAGAAACGCGTCTCCTTTGCCTGTAATGACGCGCTGTACGACTCCAGCGCAGTAACAGATTGTTGTCCAGACGCAGCCGCGATTCATTTTCGAATTATTTTACCAACAATGGCCAATAAAGAAAATGTAACACACGAAGATCAGAGCAAGAACGTGCGAACGTGTGGCTCCAGAGTGAGTCAAAAATGGGGGTGTGTACTTCTGTTCAAGACCTACACAGAGGTCCCGGTGTTCCCCGTGATCATGATGCATTTGTTATTTTAGGCTAATTAACCAAATAATTTTATGGCAATAGACAATCGCCCATCCAATTAATTCACCTTTAAAAAATGTCCTGCTGTTAGTCTAGTGTGAGAAATACAGTCGGACTAGATCCAAACCGGAGTCCCGAACCAGCAGGAGCAGCTCCGGTTCTGTCCGGGCTCAGATGACGTGGAGCGGGGAGTGAAAAGCGCTTTTCCCGGGAAGAACCAAATGCGGACACCAACTAAACTGGATTCACGCTTCTGTCCGGATGCTTTGCACCACCTCGGAACCAGCCGCGGTTCTTGAGCGCGGAGGACAGGAGCAGCACAGACCTGTAGGTATAGTCCACAGAACATTCTCACTTTCCCCGCATGGAACACGGAACCAGCGCGCAGACGGCGGAACTTACCCGCTCAGACCCAGTCATTGCGCACTGGTCTTGCTCGCCACCGTCTGGAACCAGCACATGGAGGATGGAGCCTCCGGACCATCTGACCAACGCGCTTGTAGGACGACAGAAGACCAAGGACCAGACCCCAGCGCTATCGTGAGGAGCCGCGCGCTACGGTGAACACTGTTGGCTGCTGCTGTTTCCCGAACTCTGGGCTGATGCGGTGAGTTTGTACAAAGTTCTATGTTGCTGTTTTATGAGTTCATGGTGATAAGATGAGGACGGCTCGCGGTATTAACAGGGAACATCAGTATTGGTTACTGGAGATATCACTGTTCTACCGGGATACAGAGGCTCGTTAACAGGACCAGTTTTTGGTTCGTTTGCCGGTGTGAAAGCACCACACTGGAGTGTATCTGCTTCTCGTATGTCAAACATGGATGGAAGACGCTTGTTTTTGCCTCGTACTTTTTGCTGACATGTCGCCAAGCCTCTGGAATAGATCACTGCAGTTTTGTGGTGCTTGCGTATTGATGGGACAGCTGTGTTTGCCGCTGAGTGCGCGTGGATTTCGGCGACACATATGTGGAGCTTGGTCATCGGGTTGCCAGCAAGTTACGCACCGAGTGTTGAGCAGGTAGACAGACTGTCAATGTCTTTTTATTTCTTATTAGCCCCTCCAATAATGGTCCCATACTTATGAACAGGGGGATTCTGTCAGCGCCTCCTCTGCGCTCTGATACTGTGGTTGTGGGAGCGTAAAGTGAAGTGCGCACACGTGTACCACCATGTGTGGTTTGTTGGTTCTTCGGTGACGCCGTATGTGCACGTGTACTCGTATTAACAGATCCACTTAGACTCATTGTTTCACAACTGCTGTAAGTTGAGTTTTGGGATGTAAACTGCGTTATTAATCTGTTGTTGTGAATCTGCATGGGCACCGATTCCAGCTTCATCTGTCAGTGCGGCCCGCGGTCGGGGGATGGGATTGTGCGTACATCTACGGCGGGCCGCACTGACATTATTCTTTGGAATCAAGTGGAGGGCCGCAAAAAATCCTTCCGCGGGCCGCAGTTGGCCCCCGGGCCGCGAGTCTGAGACCCCTGGTTTATAGTCACGCGGGGGGGGGGCGCGCGAGATGTTTTATTCGTCCTAGGGGGGGCATGACAGAAAATAATTGAGAAGCACTGATGTAGACGAAGCCATACATTCTGTTTTGGCAACAATTCCCGAGATCGAGGATTTAAATTAAAGCCAGAACAAAGAGAATGTTTGGTGAATTTTATCAAGGGGATAGATGTTATTGCCCTTCTTTCTAAGGGATTTGGCACATTACATACGTCACGACCAAATAGCAGCGACTGGTTAAATAAAAAAAGTACCCGCCTACTGTCAAGTGAATGAATCCTAATGCTGCAAGATGAGACGGTTTCCACAAAATGAAACCAGCTTCCAAGTCCTTTATGTTGTTTGTTTTTTTGTTTTGTTTTTTACATGCAAGCAGTCATGTTGGTTTTTTACCGCAAACAGAGCATGCATCTCTGGTTAATCCGAAATTAATCTAAAAACAGGGAGACAGGATACAGCTCCAGATCCACTTGTCTTTGTAACGTTTTGTCAAAGCGTGTGGTTCTGGCTGGCCAGGTAACAGTGCCACTATACTGACCTGTATCCTGTACGTGTCCTCCCCATAAATTACCTTTGGGTGTCATTGAGAAAAAACCTTTGAATCAGTAATACAGTCACATACCTGTGATGACTGACTTGCAGCTCCCCAAGCAGCTGGTTCTTGAACCACTGGTCAAAGTCCACATTATCAAAGAGCTCATAGGCAGCCAGGCCCACTGCATTGTACACTGTAAGCATATAGAAATACACATAACAAATACATGAATACAGCAGTGCAAACATTTACTTTAAAGGACCGATATTACGATATTTCCTGATCTATGTTATAATGTTCCTCAACAATATCACACTTGTCTCATGCCAATGCAGCTCCAAGCTCACCGTGAAAGTGGAAATGAGGCTCTATCTGCTTCCATAAATTCTATATTTGTTGCTCCTTGTCCTGCTTTATATTCTTGTTGTTAATAAGTGTGTGAGGAAGTAGGGGAACTAATCAGGTACTAGCCTTGTCAGTGCGCTATTACACAGAAAAATGCAAGTCATATGCAGGTGTTGTTATACAGCTGTCGGGTACAACTAATCTCAGAGAGCGGCTGTTTCACGGGAGAGTGCCAATTTGGAGCATCTGTGAGCTCTGAAAATGGTCCAGGCAGGTGGCTACTATAGAGCACAGGCTGGTACTAACACGCAACATCTCATCACTCTGGTCATTAAGCTCCAACTGTGCGTGGGCTTTTGAATTTGAGATACTTTTTCAATTATTTTATTTATTTGTTTATTTGAAGAGCATAAACATCATTGTACATTAGGCCTGTCACGATAACAAACTTTTAAGTGGAATAAATTGATGAAGAAAATATAAATGACAAACGGTAATACTGAAACTAATTGATGACACACTGACCCTGAAAAAGCATTCTAAATCTACAATATTGTTATAAAAATCATGAGTTGCAATAAATAAACAGCAGAATGAAACACTTTAGTACTTTACACACTTTCGTTTGCATCTGTAATTAGTCATAGAAGTGAATTATTCAACGTTTTATGGCTTAAATCTTGTCATATAATCAAAAAAATAACCAAAAATCTCACTGTAGAGCTCAAGATCATTCTAAAGCTATTTAGGAAAGGTTCATTTCTGTGCAGTGAATGAGAGTGAGTGTTTTTTTAGTATTGATACTTGCTCAAATGAGTGTCTAATAGGGACTTTGCTGGATCAGACTGATATCGATTCATCCGATATCTGGGTTCGGCCTTTAATCTAATATAATAAGAGTATTTACTGGTCAAGGACTTTATTTCAAACACTTTAATTCAGTGTTCAGATGTTAGTTGAAGGATAAATAACAGCTACATAACACAACTGGAACACATTTGTAATAATTTAGGGGAAAAAATGCCATTCTGAGTCCCTGCTCTGGTATCGTTATCTGTTTAAAGCTTGAGTATCGATAGTGGTATTGGAGCTGGAAAAGCTGGATCGGTGCATTCCTACTCTAAACCCAATTATGATATGATAACACTGCTAGTTTTATTTTTAATCAGCTTTTTTAGCAACCTTTCTTCATGGTTTTATATAGAAAATACTTTTTTGCACATCTCTAACAAAACTAACACAATATAATTTCTAATATATATTCTACCTCTTTTCTACATGCTACATATTTCTGACACGTTTAAAGAGAACATGTTGGCGCAGTTATAATGGTATATTTAAGTAGAAATGTGTCACCCTGTTATTCTTAATCAGCCATTAGCTCTTCAGCCCTCTCCCTTGGACACAATTACATGGAGCTGCTTCTATTATCAGCACACAGCTCTATCACCATAAGTGTCTGTAGTTTTATCTGCACTGTCAACCCACCGCTGAGAGCCCCACAGGAATCCATATTTAATACAAGTAGCTCCCTTGGCCTTAGAAAAGAGCCTAAATACATGCTGTGTTTGTGGACCAACAAATTGAAATATGATGGAACACAGTGTTTCTCAAACTGTGGAGCATGTACTGTTAGTGGTACGCGTATTTTTGTTTAATTAGAGCCATATATTTTTGTCCTCATTTTGGTTAATCTGTAGAACAACATTATCTATGGTTTAGTATAATTGTAGACCATGTAAGCCCTAATTAAGACCTGTTATAGTCCTGGTTTAAGAGTGCTCAGAAAGCCAAGAGTATAAAGAAAATGGCCAGTGTTTAAAAATGCTGAAGAAAAATGCATTAAAAATATATAAAACTAGAGATAAGGAGTCAGAATATGTTAAGATAAATAAGCAACCAATCTGTTAGAGGAAAACAAAAAAGTTATTTGAAAAAAAAAAAAAAGACCAAACGGACCCTTTAAGAAAGCTATAATCAACTCACCTGCATCCTTCATGAGTAACTGAACAGAGTCTTCCACGTTGGTTGGACCTAAAAGAAACAAATTTGTCACACATATTTTTCCAGAAACAATAACGTGATCACTGTGTTCTCTTTCAAACCTCCTCTGAAACATTTAATCTAATTTAATCTGTATTTAAACCAAGTGACAAATCCTTTTATACAGGGATTTAGTGATGCAGCCGTTAATTAGAGCTGCCTTTTGCAATGACACTTCAGTGTTCAGTGCTATTCAACAAAATCAATGTAAAAGACTAAGACTAAAAAATCCAAAAGAAACCATTTGTAGTGCTTAAGGATGCCGATATCAACCAATACTAGTGCAGAGACTGAAAATAGTAGTTAAATATTTATTTTTTAATGGTAAAAAAATATCCAAATGTGGGTTGTTAGTGTTATTTATAGTAACTACAGAACATTGTAAAGTAAACTGTCTTACTACCAGTGTTGGGCAAGTTACTTCAAAACTCTAATGCCATATTTATTATTTGTTATGTCATTTCAAAGTAATTTGTTACATTACAATAAGATTGTATTTAAAATATAAGGCATTACTCTACTACTGCATTACTTTTAAGTTACTCTCACCAAAATAACTGGAAATATGGATTTTGCAATCTAAATGTAGCTCATGACGTTCAGTTAGCTCGTCATGCATCCATTGGACAGGGTTCCCACTCTTTTTCATTGAGAAAATTTCAAAACTTTTCCGTGACTTTTTCATGACCTAAAGTGAATTATCCATGACTTTATGGCACCTACATGTGTAGAACTGATCATATTTTTAGGGCTAAATATGAAATGTTAACCATTTCCACTCAACTTATGGTTTGGTATTATTGTTTTTTTAACATTCAAAATAGTGTCAGTACATTTATTTTTATCTCTTTTAAACAAAAGGAGCATACATTCAGAAATAATCATAATAGCATAATTATAACTTAACAGAACGTAGTTGCCTGAAAGAGATACTAAAATTCCATGATTTTTCCAAAACTTTGATGGAATTTACAAAATTCCACGACCATGGGAACCCTAAGTCGAAGATGATGTGAAAAACAAAAACCCACCACTTCAATCCAGGTTAAAAATGCATTGTAATGCACATTACTGACATTTGTACAGAGTAAAATATTACCCTTTTTTCTGTAATGCCTTTTTGCTGCATTACAGCAAAAAGCAAAGCATTACAGGTAAATCATTACTTTTGTAATGCGTTACTCCCAACACTGCTTATTACACCAATTTATAGACCAAAATGAGATATAGACTGAACCGATACCTTGGGACTAATATCTGAGCTATTAAGATTTTCAATGTCCTGTACCAGTATTGTATCAGTGCATCCTTGGAAATGCTAAAGACTTTCAAGTGCATCATTTTCATGGAGATATTTATTGCTTCACAGTATTTCCATGGAGAAGAGTACCATGGAGCAGCACCTGTCTAGATAACATTAATGGCACACTGTGGAACAAACTATTGCATCTCCATGGAAAGAAGCAGGCGGTAAACCCTCTACCAGAAGAGTTTCCTGACACTCATTTAAAATATACAATACCTTCCTTAAAATTATGCACTACTTTAAAAATAGAATAAATAAATAAATGACCTTGTAGATTCTGGACCATCTCGAGCAGCACCGGGGTCAGTGTCTGGCTGTAGTTGTGGAAGATATCCAGAAACAAAACTTCTGTGCAGGGCTGAAAAAAAGAGGAAAGGGAAGGGGAAAAGAACAAAGATAAAGAAAGATCAAGAAAGATAAACAAAACATTAATAGCACCATAAACCAAAATATAAAAGCTTGAAAACATTGCAGGACTACAGGGAGATTAAAGCTAAACCAATATGTTTTTGTTGGTCGACTTTTTTTGTGATACTGAACCTGTGAAGCGCCGTTGTTGTTTTTTAATGTGCTTTTTAAATCAAGACTGCAGTGCCCCAGGACTAACAACCAAGAAAAAAATCAATTAAATATACTTTTTGTTGTTATGTTAAATGTGTAGAGGTATCTGTATTTAAACATTAAAGGTTCTATATTGCACAAAATTGATTCTTGTAAGTTTTAACGCATGTTATAATGTTGAAACCTCATCAAAAATGTGTGTTGTGAGTTGGAGTAGTGTTTTGTTTCATTCACACACGTTTGAGTAATCCTACATTATTAGTCTGTCCATACCCCTAAAGCTCAAAATGCTCTGTTCCACCTTGTGATGTCATGTAGTGGTATTTTTCTAGTTAACAGACACCTTTTACCTTTGGTTTAGTGGAAATTGGCAATTCCAGGGGTGATAGTAAAGGTGTATGGAGTTTAAAATTGGACACTTCTTGGATTACCACATGACATCAGGTGGAGCCTTTTCTTGTTTGAGAGAAGAACCCAGCCTAAATATGCAGGGTTTATGTGTTAAAAGTGTGAATGAAACAAAACACAACTCGTAACCAAGGGCGTAGGTTTGGTCTCAGCTTTGGTGGTGACTTTATCGGTGGGGGCATGAAACCCTGAAATCCATGAACACCAACTGATAGGTTACTTGATTAATACATCAATTATATTGTTTACTTTTCTTATGATGCACACTGCAAAAACTAAACCGCACATCTTTATAAGAAATGGGGTAAAATGGGATAAGACTTTGTGTATATGTTTTATGAATTCTTTCCAAAAACACAGAGTCTGGCCAGTTTGTGTCCATTGTCCTGCTAAGATGATTCTTTACCAGATAACAGTGATGTAGAAGTTTGTAGTAGATTTCCCTTTGCTTGTTGGTGATGAGATATTTGTGAGGTAATGTCCAAACATTTTTCCATGGAATGTTGTCAATAGAGTCGGGCTGCTAACAGCGCACGAGTAGGGCGCTGTTTGGGAGGTGCACTTGTGGTGATAGTCACTCTTTTTATAAACAAAATGTGAACTAAATTGTGTTAAATTAATACTACTGAGTTTGGAAAAATGTTGGAATAAATGTATATTTTTGTTTATTAAAATAAAATGGCAAATATTGGTAGGGAATATTTTGTCTTCCTCAAATATTGGTTGTGACATATCCCCACTGTCCCTGTGCAAACCTACACCTTTGCTCATAACACAGATTTAATCTTTAATTTTATGATTATTTATGTTTTGATTTGTTTTTATTGTGATTTTAATGTTTTCTCATTCTGTAAAGCACTTTGAATTACTTTGTGTACGACTTGTGCTATACAAATAAACTTGCCTTGCCTTGCCTAGATCAGAAAATAGAACAATACTGGCCCTTTAATAAGCTCAGTAGACGATAAGTAACATATTTATTCCAAAATACGTATTCAATAAAATTATTCAAATATTGTTGCCACCAAACCAGTGGTAATTTCACAATGCAAAATATTTATTCATAGAAAGATGTAACAGAAAGAAACAGACACTTAACCTCTGGAAAAGTCAATGCACCCGCTACAGCGTATTCTAGGGTTTTCTGTATGTTTTTCTCTTGAAGTTTATTGGTTTCCTTTGACGTAACACTAAATCTATATCTCTGCTTACAGCGAGCCAATATGCAAACGCACATGTACAATTGTATGTTTGTACTTCAGGTCAAAGGTTAAATGAGGTCAGCGAAAGAGCAATCCAGTGCTTTTTTATGACCAGCACGAGAGGTCACTTCTAATTAGCCGTTACAATTGGTGACCATGGAAGAAATTAACTAAAATTGACATTTTATTGATGCGCTAGTTTAAGCACGGCTCTGAATATATGAGCTGATAACCAGGTCAGGAGTGGGCGCAAATGACAGGGAAATCCAAGCTTCTGAATAGACAGTGTTTAAAACTCTAAAATATCTATTGCGTACATGGGAGAATATGGTGAAGATCCCCAAAAAAAGTCTGAACTCTGCTCTAGACCAGAACTCTGGCTGTAGATTTAAACAACCCAAGCTGATAATTGACAATTAGAAAAGACTGGATTCAATTAAAATTCTATTAAGCTTCAAGCCTTCACAAAATGCTCTAAGGTCCTAAATTAGTGATGCAAGATTAATTGCAAACGATTTGAAAATGTAATTTGAAGGACCACAATTAGCAAATCATAACAGCTGCAGTTACTATAATACAATTTCTGCAAAAACAAATGTCGTCTCACCATGGAGTCTTAATAACATTTCAACTATGAGGTTTAATCTTCAGCAGGTTCTGTCTGTTTACATCTGTGTTCTGTAAAGCCTCTTTGAGTGTTCTGAAAAGTGCCATAAAAATGAAATGTATCAATATTATTACCATATTTTCCGCACTATAGGGTGCACTTAAAAGCCTTTAATTTCATCAAAAAAAGGACTGTGCGCCTTATAATCCAGGGCGCCTTATAGATGAATTTATTGGGGTGTCTTAGTACGACTTTAGTAAACTACAAAGTCGCACCACTTGCAGCATTATGGCGACCGTAGTCAGGAGCATCGCGGAGTAATACATACTGTGATTCATTTTAATATCAAAATGCACCTGTCAAGAGACACGTTTACAAAGCTGATTTTAAATTCAAGGCTATTATAAAGTGAAAGTGCGAGCTGCGTGGGAGCAGTGGATGAGAGAAGGCGAACATACGTTCACCAAGACAGGGAAACAGCGCCGAGCGACTTACGCCACTATCTGCCAATGGATTGTGGACGCCTGGGCTAAGGATCAGGATCAACTGTGGTTCGAGCTTTCACCAACACCGGAATCATCCACTGAACTGCCAGGTAACAGTAACAACACTGACTCGGATAATGACGAGAGGGATGCGGGCGTGCTAGACACCGTAATCGCCCAACTGTTTGAACAATTATGAGTTAATGTGAATACGCTAACAATTTAGCATCTCAGGCAGTATTTTTTTTACACGTTACAATTGCACAAAGTTGAGACTTATTGTGAATGCATTAAATAAAGTTTGACTGATTTATCTAACTGTTGTGTTTTGTTTAATGCACCTTAAAGTCTGGTGCAGTTTATATGTGAAAAAAGTTTGAAAATAGACCATTCAATGACAATGTGCCTTATAATCCAGAGCACCCTATAGTGCAGAAAATACAGTATTATTGTTACTACCATTCATAATTAGATTGGCCAACCTATAAAACCACTAAATCCTATCTACATTATTTCTGTCTGTCAGTGGGCCAGGTTTGGTCTGACAAAAGAGAGAAGAAGAAGAGCAGAGAGCACAGGTGAGCTTGAATAAAGGCCAGGTGAGGGGAGGGAGGAGGGGGAACGGGGCAACATCTGCCATCTACTGGTGGAAAAAAAAAAAAAAAAAAAAAAACTTGCAGAAGGTAACTTTATTTTGAGCTTTGTTTTAGCACAACCTGACCATAAAGAACTGACTTTGTTGGTTTATGGAGCCCTTATCTCATGTTTTGTAACTTAACACAATGTGCAAGAATGCAAAACAAGTTCAAGTTGTTCAACAGCACTGATATCTGTGCATTCAAAAGACCAAATTTAAGACTTTTTAAGATCTTTTAAAGACTTCAACATTTCAAATTTAAAACCACAAAGTCAAACATCCCATTTTAGATACATTTTGCATGACGATTGAGTAGTTGCATAAAACTTATCATTAATCATTAGGGATGAATGATTTTGGAAAAAAAAACTATAAAGCAGAAGGCGCAATTAAGTTTAAGGTTCTAAAGGACAAGATGGTAGTAAAAGTGAAATAAGAAGGACCCTTGAGCAAATTGTTAAAGCTAGGAGAAGATCCTGTTTGTACTTATTTGCAGCATCTGAAGGTATTTTATTGTAACATTAAAAGCTCAATAAAGTACATTTTGCATAATGTCTCATTTATAATCAAACATATTTCACAGCCATTAATGTGAGAATCTCTTTCAACATTTGAACAAACAACTTCATGAAACAGCAGTGCTCTTCAAAAACAGCAGGGAACCAGTTTGTCATCTGGCATTAAATGAATCGGAGACTGGAGATAGAGGGGTTACTGGGGGCGGACTGACAAAAAAATAATCAAATAAAAGGAAAAGTGGATGGGAGATTACGCCCTGACTCAAACAGCTGAAGATAAGCCAGTGCCGCATCACTTGACACTGCCTGGAAGAAGAAGGCTGGCACCCAGGGGACCCCCGAGAGCTTTGAGATGTCTAAATGTGCTCACTTCCTCTGAACTAAACACTGCAAAATATATAAGTAAATACGGCCCCCGCTGAGAAGAAGACATGAATATTTCAACAGATGTGAGCGTTCTGAATGGAGCCAAACAGGGTATTGTTCAGAAGCGGTGTTTTGACTTACCCGCAAACTATATTTCCAAGAGTCACCGCCGGTTTCTTCGACAGCTGAGAAGAAGGAGAAGCAGGATCAGAATCACGTTTCGTAAATATTTAAATGACACAAAAATCTGATGAAAGCTTAAACAAACCAAGAGATACTAGGAGATAAGAATGGGGAAACATTGAAACATTTGTCACTTCAGAAACTTTGAGAGTTGAATCTTTGTAACGTTAAACTTGTATTATACAAAACTGAGACAAAATGGTAGCAAGTGAAATGGAGGGTGTAGTAGTAGGTTGGATCGTCACATGGTTGCATTTTTACAGAAAACCAAATGCAAATCAGTAACAAATATTTATAATTTATGCAAACTGACTATGACAGTTGGGATGTAATATATTCATACCATACTCTACACAACTGTACAACAACTCAAGCTTATGTAACAGATAACCTTATTTCTTTTTTGCACGGTTTCTCCTTATGACCCTTTGTAATTGCTCCACAAAAAGACAGATTTCAATAATTTCCTAATGATGTTGATTGTGAATTAGAGCAAAGATTCATGGTCCATGTAGTTTTCTCTGCTTCTGCTGCTTGGACAAAACAATGCTTTTTACAAAGGGCAGTGAATTTAATCAAATTTTAATCGAGATTCAGTCACTGCTTATTGTGAATGATATCCTTGGGTCTTTTTAATCAAGGGATCTACAGCCAATTTATCTGTCAGCAAAAACATGAGATTTGGAGAAGAGATCAGAATTTAGGGGAAGAAATTTGAATATAATATAAGGATGTTTTCTTTTTCTCATTTTGGTTGTGTTTCTTGCACTAAAAAAAAGTAAACATTTTTAAATAATTTGAAATGTGTGAGCTGTGAGAGCACTTGCATCTCCACGAACCTGACTCTTATTTGGCCTGGGCAAGCCCCTGGGTTTTTCAAAATGGCCACCCATTCAAGTCAATGGGTCGAGCTCACTGGTGCATGACTCCAGATTAGCCTGGCTAGGTACTTCTGGTGGCTCTGGGCCGATTGAGCATGTGCAGTAGTGCTCTTTTCTCCCGCAGACACATGCAAGGAGGGCGGCCTTGTGTATCACAAGATCTCTTTGACCAATCACAGCGAGAGGAGCTCGAGAGGAGCTACAGCGGAGCAGAGCAGAGCAGGAACTAATGATTATAAAGTGTTTGTTTAAGATTTTGAGCTAAGAAAAAGTTTATGATATAAAAATAGGTAAAAATTGCCACAAAATCCAACATTTTTGAAAGTTATGAGTGCCCTGTCAGCTGAATATGAGCAGTTTGTGATTACATTGCACTCTATGAGAAAAATCCTTTCTCGGCCCAGGGTATTTTTTCTGCTGAAGTTCCAGTGAGTGGAACCTCAATTGGAGCTATCAATACACTATCCAGTTATTTTAATAGATCCATTGGCCTGGGTTTATTTCCTTGGAAATGTTGTTTCTTTGATTATATTATTCCACATTATGGAATAAAGCCTTAACATCGCCATGGAGGAAAATTCCCGAAGTATGGTTTTAACATTCTGTTAAATTGTGCAAGTGCAATTGTGCCACCTCCAGAATGTTACATACTGTACTTTTAAACAACATATTTTAAAGCATATTTTAGAGATGCTCAAGTCTTTCCATATTGGTATTAGGGCATCTCTACTTTTTGATTGTTATTTTTACTTTAGAAGCTAGAAATACTTTAAACTTTCTGATCACAACTTGACAAATAGCAGAGTGAGAACAGATTGGACCAGTCATTACCGAAGCTCTCTGGGTCCTCTTCCCACATGGCCAGCTCCTCCTCTGTGAGCAGGAGGTAGTGCGAGACCAGTCTGCGCCCAATTTCAGTGAGTGTGGGGTGTGTGAAGAAGGCCGTCTTGATCCTGTGTGCTTCCAGACTCTCCGGTTTACTGTCTGTGAAAAGATGGAGAAGGGGTGAAAATACAACAAAAGAAGTGTGATAATTCAAGTTCATAGTGACGTAAAAGTGACACCCAAAGGAGCTGAGATACATAGTGTAGGAGTCCAGGGTGTTTTGATACTAATCCTCACTTTGAATTCACACAGGCAGCCAGGAAAACTTTGAGAAAAGCATATGTTACTGAAAAGTACAAACTCAATACATTAATGCACCTACTAATGCCTACTTACCTATTTTTTAAAGTTAGATTGCACACTCTATCAATTAAATGGCCCATATTATGCTATTTTCCTGATTGATTTACCGTATTTTTGGGACTATAAAGCGCATCGGATTATAAGGCACAATATCAATGATGCTGAATTCTCTCATCTACTTTCATCCATAAGGTGCCCCGGATTATAAGATGCATTAAGCGAAACAAACAGACGACACTTGAGACTTGAGACTTCTTTATTTCCTACAAGGAGGACTCAAATATAGTTTGAGAAATAATGTGTTTAAAACATCTTTACGCACATTTGTTTACATTTTACAGAAACGAAACTTTAAAAAAACATGGCTAATTTGTAAAAACTATAAGCAATTAAAAAAAAACACACAACTGCTTGCTCTTGATGCGCTGATTCGGTCAGCTTCTGTCGGACTAAAGCACACAACTCAGTGGAATATATGTGAAAATTGGTTCAGTCAGTAAGCACAAACAGAATTAATACATAAGGCGCACTGTTCATTTTTCAGAAAATTAAGGGATTTTAAGTGCGCCTTATAGTCCGAAAAATACGGTAAGTTTCCTCAAAAAACATAACTGAAGTGTAAAATAGGACATTTATAGGTGTACTATTTTACTTTTCTGCTCATTGTCTCCATGGAAATATTATTGCTTTGCTTAGAATATTTCACAGTATGGCATTAAACATTAGCTCCATTGAGAAAAACATGTGACACTAAAAGGGCGAGTTACAGAACAGAACAGGAAAGAAGGCACCTGATCTGTTGCTTAAATAAAAACACCAGGATCATGTAAAGCGAGTTAATACAAACATTTCAAGACCCAAATGACGAGGTTCTCTGCAGCAATTACAGAGAGAGGGGTGAAAATTTTTCGACGATGGAGTGGAGCCAGAAGCGAAGTCCATTCATATATACAGTTTATGGTTGTACCACAGTGCAATAAAGGACCCAATATTAAAAGATTTGAAATTGTAGCCTGATGTTACCTTTCTCTGTACAGCAACAGACTAACAAACAAATCTAATCTGATCTTCTAGCTCCATATCGTTCACTGCGATCTTATAAACAAGTCACATTGGCGCTTTAAGCATAAATACAGCACATAATACAAAGTGCGGTGCAATCTGAACTTACATCTAATACGAAATTTAAGTTATCAGTTACATCACAGCTCCTTCAAAAGACGCATACAGAAATGGTGGTAATAAATGGCATTGCAGAGGCCTGGTTCGGATCTCTGTCAGCTAACGACAGCGAAGGAGAAACATCTTCAATAAGGCGTGTGCAGCATAGATCCGGGGAGCTGCCAGAACAAAGAGGAAGCCTGAGCTCTATGACTAATGAAGCACTAGAGGCCGTGAGGGTCTGAAATAAACATGAGCTGGTGAGGGGCTGCCACTTTCACGACTGCACTGTTACTTTTCAAAACACTCAATGATGTCTCTGAGCGCGTCTCCATTAGCTCTACAGTTGCCATGTGTGCTAAATGACATCTTAATACAAATGTTAAAGGCGCTCTGTGTAACTTGTTCATGCTTTAGGGTTATTGCACCAGTGACGTAGAAGTTCATCATGACATCTGTAGTAGTAAGATATCAGAAATCAAAATGTGTTATTGACGAGTTAGTTAAGAAAATGCAGCCTTAACATTAAAAGTGATATGCAACTTTCTGCGCGGACGGTCCAGCAGCTGCTTGTCCCTATGGAAAGGTTATTGCTTTGATCCGGGTCCATGGAGACAAGCAGGTGATGCCTTCGGGCCAAGTAATAGGTCAGATCTGCCAGATATATCTTTTCGACATTTTTTTCTAGCAATAAAAACACTGTAAATGAATAAATGTCAGATAGACAAGTTGAATGCCTTACTGTGGAAAATTCCAGACATGTAGACAAGGAGGTGGTGAAAAGTTGCATAGGGCACTTTTAATGTTAACACTAAAGTTTTCTAGCTAAACTGATTTTGACATCAACTTGTTCAGGGACAGCAGGCGGAAACTAGAATTTCTGTTAAAACCTGACTACTCTTTTTTATAAGACTAATGCTGTTTGTGTACTGTACCTGATCAAATAAGTCAATATTAATTAAAAACTTCAATTTTGATGTCTGATATCTTACTACTAAAAGTATCACGGTAAACTACTTTATGTCACTCCTATTACCTTTTGTAAGAATGTAAACCTTTGTCTAAAACAGGGGTGTCAAAGTCAAATTCACAGAGGGCCAAAATTAAAAACTAGGACTAAGTCGTGGGCCAAACTAAATATTTATTGAAAAATGTCAACAATATCTGTGTTTTCTCTTCTTTTGAGATATGTAATGTTAAACCTTTTCTTATTAAAATAAATATTTAATAATAGTTTTGCTTAAACACTGAATCCAGAGCAAACATGATATAAAATATTAACAACATTTTAAATAAAAAATTTCTCTATAGCCTATCTGTAGCCCGCGGGCCAGCTATAATACATATTTGATATGATCTCATGGGACAAATATAATTATATCTCGGGCATAATTTGGCCTCTGCGCCTGAGTTTGAGATGTGTGGTCTAAAAGAAACGTATCATAAATTATACAGGAGTTTGCAATAAATAAATAGAACACTGAAACAATAGTAGTTTAACCTCTATAATAGCAGTAGGTGTAGAGGTAATTATTCATCCTGTATCTCAAATGTTATCGTACTACCACATAAATAAGAAAAAGTTCCCCATTAGTGCAAAGAAAAGGTACATTATTATAAACTCTGAGCTCCGATCTAGCTAAACAATGAGCCTGACCACTTTTACCTTCTATGTTCTTGTTGGGTTTGTAGGCATCGTTCTTCAGGATCATTTTAATGAGGTTCATGCACTGGACGATGAAGCGCTCAAAGGTGATTCCCTCTCCGGCTGGCGTGAACACGTAGCTCACGGCAAACTCCAGAGACCGCTGAATGTGGGGGATAAACGCACACGGATGCTGCTCCAGAAAGTCCAACAACTGAAGGAAAGAGGAAAGGGGAAAGACATGGATTTACATATAGTTATCAGGGACAGTCACACTATTTTCTGATCTATGTAACAATCACGTTTCCTCATCACAAACATGCCTAGAGTTATGTTTTGTTTCATTCAACAGTTTTGTATAAATAAGACCTTTAAAGAAAACGCTATGAATGGAACTTTGGGGCATTGTTTGAGTGACAAACATTGAACACAACAATCAGAGCAAAAACCATGGAGACAAACAAACACAGATTACAAATTATACCGTGCACCTTTAAAATACAGGTGTTGAACTGAAGGAAAAGTGAGGAGGCAGAAGTGACTTTATGCATAATTATTAGGACAACGTAACAAAAAATTTTGCATTTAAAGTCTAGAATTAAATGAATGGAAATTAATGGCACAGTTTATGTGGAATCACCACTAAAAACAGTCAAATTGATGTTGGAGGGAATGGAAGAATTTTAACTGCATATTTTTTGTTTTTGGTGGAGGGTACACCATCTCCTTGTCATTATGGATATGTTATTGCTTTACCAAGAATGTTCCATGGTATAGCATTAAACATATTTCAATGGAGACAAGCAGATGGCTCCAAAAGGCCAAGTTTTAAAGAGGTGACCCTGCTCACAGTCAGAATGTACATGTTTTTTGCTAGAAATATGCTATACAGTGGAAAGGTATGGCAAGCTTCAGTTTACGCAGTGCACCAATGCCTTGATCTAGTTCATGGAGAATATATTTGTAATTACTAGGCCTACTCATATAAAAATGGTGGCATGTTTTCAAAAAAAATATTATGAACTTACAACTTTAGTGTAAAGGATAATAGTCTTTTCCAGCTTCTCTCTGCAGGGGCTCTCAGGACCAACTTGTCGACCTGGAAAAAAAACACAAACAATAAATGTAAAAAAGTGTTTAATTTGCATAAATAATTCTAGGCGTTATACAACCTTGGTTAGCCACACAGAAAAACAAAAACAAGTCTACTGAATTCTGTACGGCAATTGTTTGAGTACAATTTCAAGTAGCAGGTATAATAAACAAAGTACTTAAAGACTATTTAAAGGTGCACAGTGGAACATTTTGGTTGGGGGTCCATCACCTGCTTGTTTCTACGGAGATGTCATTGCTCTGCCTGGAATGTTTCACAGTATGACATGAAGCAGTTCTGTCTTACAGTTATTAAATTGGAGGTGGTTTTATAGTTCAAAAATACCTAGAAAAACAGGCATTCTGACAGTGAGCAGGGTCACCTCTTCACAGATGTGACCTGTAAGTTGGTTTGGTTTAGTCTTCATAAAGAGAGAAGGGTTTAATGCCATACTGTGAAACATTCCAGATAAATCAATTACATCTCTACAAAGAAAAGCATTAGATGGATCCTCCACCATAATAAGTGTTACACAGTGCACCTTTAAATACAAAACACCTGCCCTTCTACTTAAAACTTAAAACAACATCCTTTTCATAGAAGAAATAAATTAATAAAACTTAACAGATCTCAACAAATAGTCATTACTAAGACAGATTTAACAATTCATAGCTAAAATACAAAAAACTTGACTGCACAAGAAAATAAACTTCTGTTAGTTTTGAATGTTAAACTGACTGAAAAAGTAAAAATCTGCTTTTTACAGATTAAACAAGTCAAAGAGAGTGTATGCAAACTATGCATATGAAATTGTTGCCTGGGGAAATCAATTTAATTTCACCAACATGTTTATGGAGACATTACTTTATTTTAATACCTACTATCTGGAAAAAATACAGCTTTCCCATGCCAAACTATTATGTATAATTTATCATTTAAAGTCCAATAAAATGAAAAATGCTGTATTTTGTTTCGGGATATCCATTTTGAAACCATAACAGCAGGACCAATTATGAAGTTACATTTTGTTTATATTTGGTTGCCTTGTTAATTTAAAGGACACCTATTATGCAAATTATTATTATTATTATGCAGTTGTTAGCCCTTATCATTTACCCTTTGTAATTTGTATTTGGAATAATTTGTGCAAGTTTTAGTAATCTTTAATCTCATTTTATCTTGTTTTCAAGATAAAATTATATTACCAATATTGCCGATAATGCCCTGGGTTCAGCGCCCCCAGCATATGACCACTGTACTGTACTAACCTCGTATTTCCAACATATACACCACTAATGATACTGTCAATAAGTGCATTAAGACTTTACTTAACCAGCAACCCTGGACAACTGGCAAAGTGAGATCCCTTTTGAAAGCACGCAACAACACTTTCATGGTAGGGGACAAGCTACAAAAGCTACTTAAGAAGGGAATTTCAGAGGCAAAAAGGGAATATGGCAGGAAAATAGAGAGCCATCTTATGTATAAAGACACATGGAGGATGTGGAAAGGGATTCAACTTCTAACTAATTATAAGGGCAAAAGGAACAACCTCAAGAACTTTGCAGAGTCGCGAACTAAGGAGTTCAGCTTTCTTCTTCTTTGCCCACTTTGAGGACACGTTTTGCTTTGAAAACAGTTATTATTCCCATGTCCAAACACCCAGCTTCGACTGATCTCAACAACTACAGGCCACTTACGTCTGTGGTGATGAAATGCTTTGAAAAACTGGTTCTGCGACATGTTAGAGCCAACCTCCCACCCTCCTTTGACTCCTGTCCATTTTCATACAGAGCTAATTGGTCGGCAGTCATCTCACCAGAAGCAAACTATGTGAGGATGCTCTTCACAGACTTTAACTCGGCCTTTAATACAATCTTCCAACACTGAATACTGGTGTACCTCAGGGATGTGTGTTGAGTCCGCTCCTTTACTCACTGTACACGCATGACTGTACCACCATCCATCCCACCAACACATTCATAAAATTTGCAAGCGATACAGCGGTCATTGAGCTCATCACCAATGAGATGAATCATTCAGAATGATGTTCAGTCACGCATTTGGTCCTAAATTTAACCAAGACCAAAAGATAATTTTGTATTTCTGAAAGATGTGTGCCTCAAATCCAGTTCTATTCTACATCAATGGTGTATGCATAGAATGAGTGAAGGATTTCAAATATCTTGGCATCCATTTGAGTGCGGACCTCTTCTGGTCACTTAACACTTCAGCCACTGTAAAAAAGTCTCAACAGCGGCTTTGCTTCCTGCGTGTACTTAGGAGAAACAACACGGAGAGGAGTTTAATGGTTTCCTTTTACAAAGCGGCAGTTGAATCCATCCTTACATACCACATCTCAGTTTGGTATGCAAGCTGCTCTACTGCAGACAAAAGAGCACTACAGAGAGTTGTTAAGATAGCTGCAAAAATAATTGGAACCCACCTGACCCCACTGAAAGACATTGCCACTTCACGTTACCTGAGCGAGGCAATAGTCTCAGACCAGTCGCACCCTGCCCACCCGCTGTTCGATCTGTTACTTTCAGGAGGGCAGTACAGGTCGATGAAAATGTGCACTGCAAGACTACAAAACAGCTTTTTCCCAACAGCTATCAATGTGCTAAATCACTTGTGTCTGTGTACATCAGAGGGAGGTGCTAACTGTAATTACATTGACATTCAAAACAATCAATCATTAGACCAAAAAAAACTCAAAAAACCCACCATAAACTTCCATCTCAATTTTGATAACACTTCACTCAATCCATTCCCACTCCTCCGTAACCTTAGCATCCTCCTCGACCCCAACCTCCCACATTAAACAAATAACCCGGTCTGCATTTTTCTATCTCAAAAACATTGCCCGACTCCATCCATCTCGCACTTTATCTTTTGCAGAAACCTTAATTCATGCATCCATCACCTCCAGAATTGACTACTGCAATAGCATTTTTTATGACAAACCCTCAAAAACTCTCAATAAACTGCAATACATTCAAAACTCCATAGCCTGCCTGTCTCCTCACACATATGCAGTTTAAAAAAAGAACCTCCAGATCCTCCACTGGCTCTCCATCCCTCAGCGCATCCACTTCAAAGTCCTTCTCATCACTTTCAAAGCCCTCCACAACAAGGCCCTGTCCTACGTCTTGGACCTGCTGCACCCCCACATAAGTTCTCTCCGCTCCTCTGATGCCAGTGTCCTGTCCTTCCCCTGTAGGACCAAACCAGAGAGACAGAGCCTTCTCCATCACTGTCCCCACCCCCTGGAGCTCTCTGCCCCAGCAACACCGTGACTGTACCGAACTCCCCACCTTCAAGAAACTGCTTAAAATTCATCTATTCATCTAGAACCGCCTTTAATGTCTAGCTTGTTTTTAAATCATGCCTATAGTTTGTCTATACTCTTTAATTTTATACTTTGTACAGCATTTTTGAGTGTTTAGAAAAGAGCTTTTTCAGTAAAATTCATAAAAATGTATATTACTATTATTATTATCACAAAAGTCACTCTGCTTTTGTATGTATACAGCTTTGTAATTCTGTATAAGTACTGTATACTGGAGGGAACTCTGAGGAGATGACTCGGGGAAAACGAAAAGAAGCTGCTGGTTGAGACCCTGTCCATAGCAGCTGTAACTGCATCTTTGCCCTGATATTAATTGATCTGTCTTTCACCAAATCTCTGCACACCAAAGTAGGACATAACCAAAGAGCAATATATCAGCAATATACTAACACTTTTTTAACTTAAAATGTCCCTTGTTCTTGTTAAGCATTAGAAATTACGCTCTACCGCAGTATTTTTTTCTCATGGTTATCATACTGTGGAAATTTCATATCATACCATCTGTAATTGCTGTTCATATTTTTTTAAATATTGTACATTTAGGATTTAGGTTTTGTGGATACTTATGATTTATGGTTTGGTTTCAGTATCATTGTTTATCATCTGTATTAACGTCAGCAATATATCACACTTTAGAATAGCTATTGTGAGAAGTCTAACCCTGACCACCATATGGGATCAAATTTTAGCCTATTAATAATTCAAATGAGATAAGTTCAACGTTGAAGCAGTGATCCTGTGAGCTGTCACTTCGTATCTTGTTAGACACATGTACTTTTCAATCACAGCTGATCTAGAGTGACACCATTGATTACAAAGGTTAACACACTCAGAACAAATTTCTTACAGATCAGCGATTATGCAAATTGCCAATACACTATTGACATTATGTCTATCCCATTGCTTTTGCATTTAAAGGAATAAGACAGCTGATAGTGCAAGCATACACAGAGTAAAGTCACCAAAGTCAGACAGGGCAGAAGTCTACATAACAATTCTTCATTAATGTTGTAAAATAATTTTAATAGAGATTACAATGATGGCTTCAATCAATTAAACAATATAAATTCTGTTTTTAATGACATGGTGCTCATTCTGCCCTTCTAATCCTGGTTTAAGGTTTTAATTAAAGCCATAACATTTTTTCAAAATAACAGTAGGTCCATATATTACATCAACAAGTTAATAATTGACAGTACAAAATTAACAATTTAAAGGTGCACTTCTTCCAGGAGGTGGCAACTCATCTGCATGATTCCATGGAAATAAAAGTTAAAGCCATACTTTGGAGCATATTTGTGTAACATGGAGCTAGAAAAGTTTTATATCATATTGTGGAAGATTAGAGCCAAAGGTACAAGATTTCCATGTAACCAAGCAGAACAGGCCCTCCTCTAGGCCAAACAGGAGTCAGGTTTATGGAGATGCAAGCCAGCTCACAGTAGGAACATTTTTCATTGCTGTGTTTTCTAGGCTAAGAAGTTACTGTGGCTTTAAGTTTTCATTTGAGAAGCAAAACAATCTGTGTGAATTAGTTAACTATTCAATATAAAACTTTAGACACAATAATAGTACATGAAATAAAACAGAAAAGATGAGTAAACAGACTTTCCTCTCTTATATTAATATTTCTATATATATATTTCCTTTTATCAGAGATTGGCAGGTGAGGCAGCAGACAGAGCACTCAAATGACACATATCTGACTGAAAGAGCCTCACATCTGAATGGGACATAAAGGCAGCTACAAAGAGCCCATTTGAACTGACCTTATCTGTCAGTGCAGCAGAGGCCTGTGTGCTCTGCTATCTACTGCCCCAAAACAACACCACCATCACCACAGTAAACAAGTAAGGCTGCTCCATAAAAGGGATCAACAATTTGGGGAAAAACATCTAATAGCATTTTTTCTAATTAGCAATTTGATTAATTATCCGCCTGGTTTCAATTCAGAGTGCACATCATTTGATAGAAGACTGAAATATGAACTGCTACACTAACAGGCTTGCTAATGCATTTGATTATATTGCATTACTAGGCCTGCCACAAACATTCCCAGAGTAACTTATCATTAAATATACGATAGAGGAAAAGATTTGTTAAACTTTTCTCTGAGGATTATTTTTAGGTCGTAGATTTGAGTAGTTAATGATCAAATAAGAGATTCGATATAGACGCAAACTAACATAAGTGTTCTTTGTTGCAGGTTTCTTTAATGATGACACTTATTGACACTTTGCAGTCATGCTGGGGGTTCTGCATGCATGTCTATCGCAGAATGTTTATCCCTTACCATAGTGACAGTGCCCACATTAGCAAACACAATCAAAAATGTGCATAAGGTGTCTGAAAATTTTAAAATTTTTATTTAAACAGCATATTTTTAGGAGTCTGATCACTACAAGTATTCGTGGTTCTGTAACATCTTAATAAAAGAAATTAAAAGTTAACCCTTGGCTCCTGTGTCTACTTAAATACATTTAGTCCTTCAAGTCGTAACATCTGGTCCATATAAAAAGTAATTAAAAGCTATAATGCAAAAAAAAACTGTTTATAGCAGTGTTTTCCAATCAGAGCTCCAGAGTCCACATGTTTACAGAATATACACAGTTTAATTCATAAAAGTAGTTTAGATTATAAATTTAAATCATTTTATAATGTTGTTACCTCCTCAAAAATAGACCTGGAGTAGTGTTTTGTTTCATTCACACATGTTTTAGTAACACTTTATTTATAGTCCTTACATCTCCAAAGTTTAGCTACCTTTTGTTTTGTGGAGTCTGGCAGTTCGAGGGTTGAAATGATCCAAATGATTCTGGTTAAGGTGTATGGAGTTTAAACAGTGGAGTGTGGTCAGGGCAATCAAGGCAAGCAATGGTTGCCCCAAAAAATTTAAAATCATTGCATGTCAAAAGCAAAATTAAATAGTGTCTAATTAGATCAAAATAATCCCATTTTACCTTCATTTCTGTCTGTTTTGAAACACGGTTGTAGTAGCTGTGTCCTTCACTACACTCTTCTGGCCACCGAGCAGACTGCAACAACAGCGGTTCCGAACCTCCCATTAACTTGTGTTGTTTTGCCTTTCTGCATTGCCTTTCTTCATGTTTTTGGCTATCTACATGCACTCTTACAACCGCAGAGATCAGCCGGTTGTTTTAGAGGTTTGCGCATGCGTATTGAGGACCACAGCAGGCTCAAACAGCGCTGAATAAACCCGTGAGGCGATTCCTACAGAGTGTGAATAACTTGCTTTTAGCAACGAGTCACTGTTTGTAGCTTCGTGTTTTTAATGATTAGTTGTTAGTTAGAAATACTGGCAGCCATTTAATCAAACAGCGAGCTAGTTTCAGGGCTAGTCTGTGTGAAATGGAGGATCCGGACAAAGCAGTGGAGTGACAGCGACTGGGGGAGCGAAGAGTCTTGTCTATGTGTTTGTGAAGGAGCGAAAGTGCCAGAGAAATAACAGCACAATTACACACATGTGAAGGAACATGTGTCTGATTTGGACCTACTCCACTTCAGGGAAACACGTCATTTTGCATCTGTGAGAGTGATAACGTGCTGTTGTGGGTGTTGTGCTGTTCGTTTTGTGATGTGTTTGTTTGTGACACATCAGGCTGTATTATAAGTGCATCTGTCTGACCAATGCACTGTTGTTGTTAGTATCTCTTCATGATCTTCATGAATGTACAGGTTGTATAGTAAGGACATTACACATTTGTAGAACTGTCATATGTCATTTATGTGGTTTCTTGATGCATAATAATAATTACATAGATACAAATAGTACTGAAGGGTCAGCTGCATAAATAAGGTGTAGAAATAGCCCTATTTGTACAAAGATGGTATCAAATACAGTCCAATATATACAAATATTAATAAACTATATGGTCTTGGCTTCTCTAATTTGACTCCCGAATGGCTCAGTATACATGCAATTAATGTGAGTATGAACAAATATACTCATCTGCAATGTAATTTGCATAAAAATTGGTGTTAATTGTTATCGACTAAATACTGATGTCCACCCTAAGTCTGCTTGCTTATCCATCAAAGTCACTGCACACTACTGAGTTTAAAACATAGTGGAGCATTTCCTGTACCACCACATGACATCAGACGGTGGAACAAAGTGTCTGTTTTAGAGAAGAACTCAGTCTAAATATGCAGGGTTTGTGTTAAACATCTGTGAATGAGAAAAAAAATACAACTCCAGGCATGATTTTGATGATGAAACACCATTATGACAGTGTAATATGGGAACTTTAAACTGAAATCTAAATCCACACCATAGTCACTTCTCACATTTTAGAAAAAACCCTTTATTAAAAGTGTATTATGTATGACCTTTTGATTTTGTTTTCATAACACCTGGCAAAACGAAGGCAATAAACTTGTGCATGCAGCAGTTGTAGCTCTGCTTATTTGGTTTGTTTACTGAAGGGGAAACTTTAGATCAGAGCAAGGAGACAGAGGAGGAGACAAGTCATACTCACAGCATTCCAAGAACTGCTTTAGCCTTTCAAATACGGCATTCAGGAAGCCCTAGAAGAGGGGACAAGATGGTGAGATCCTGATACATTCTGATTGGTTCATTAGAGTGTCCATTGATCAAGAGCATTACAAAACAATAACGAGAGTTAAAAGTGCACACAGACTGAATGACTTTATAAAGTGTGGAAAGAAGTGGCAGCAAGAGTAAATTAAAGGGAGTATATGTATGTTTTGGGAACTTTTTTAGCTCAGTTTATGTCATTATATCATGGGATCATCTACAAAGTGCAGCATCTTCAAAGGACAAAAGTACAAGGGACTTTCAAATTTTGTGAAATATGAAAATGAAAATGTTTGCTCTGGACATTTGAGATGCTACAGGTTATTTACACCAACTGTGGCAGCAAATGTGGCAGAAGACCTTGCAGAGGAAATACTTTTTTAAGAGGGAATGAACCTTTTCATCACCGACCAAAACACCACAGCAGACTGAGTGATTTTTTTTTTTACAATATGAAGAGCTACTTTGTGATCCTTGTTATTGATTTTATTGATAAAATAGTGGTTATCGATCCCCCAACCCGATGGTAGGAAGATTAATTCCCACTCGGACCAAGTGCTGTTGTTGTGTCCCTGCTCCTGCATTGCCTAATATGAATCTGGTGTGTACGTGAATGATTGGTGATGCTCAGAAAGGCCAAAGGAGCGTTGGAGAAAGGTGTAAGGCATTATTAAAATACATATATAACAACACAAGAATTTTCAGGCTTTATTTTCTTTTTCTGTCAGCCAAAATATTACTATATTCCCATTCCCTTTTTGAGATGCTCTGAAATGTATTGATGAAATTCTTTCTCTGTGAAATGGATTTTGCTACATACACAAATCTAATCTATTCATTCAGAAAAAAAAAAAACAGTTTGAGCTGTGAGAAAACCTAAAGAGTGCTCAAATGCGGACATGTCTGATGGTACAAATGTGGCAGATCTGCAGTCAAGTGTGTAACTAGATTCATCATTCTGTAATCAGAGACTTGGATTCGCCAACACTTGTCATCCATGTTAAATCAATGACTGTATCTCATTAATTTGAATCATTTATTTCCCTATTGAACTCACCTCGCCCGTATCTATTAGCAACGATTAACATTCTCCGAGGCTAATGTGTTCCAGGTCATGAAAACTGATGAGAGCACAGCCCATGATTAAGGTCTAAAGGTGATTAACTCAGGAAAAAAACACGTAAAAGCAATGCAAAGGAAGTCGGTGGGTTTGTTGTTAAGATTCAAGACACTAGCCTGGTATATACAGACTGAAATCCAAAGTAAAGAATTCATAGTCTAGCGTAGGAATGTCAATATTATTGGTTATTCAATCATCGTAAATCATTTCAGTTCATTACAAAAGAACAGGGGTCTTGCAATACAATATCGTCACAGTATGAACCTCACGGTACGATATTTATTGCGATATTCTGTGGAGGCTAAACAGCTAAAACTGTTAATATGGTACCTTTTCCTCCTAAAATGCTTTGACAAGAACATTTAATTCTGGACAACAATTTTTAAGAGTGAATATATTTTGCAACTTATGCAAGAGGCTTCTCCAGTTCTGACAAAGTTCTGTAATCTGTCTGAAGTGAAGCACTAACTACACTGAAACTAACACACCCTAGTTGTCTGCAGTAAGGTGGGTAATTGAGAATCCCTAGGTGTGAGCTGAACAATAATGACTTGGGTGACATTTCACACCTAGGGTATTTCAGTGAACTTTAGTAATAAAGTTATGTTCCAGTGTTAAGTTTCAGTGTGGTTAGCTCTTTTCTTCAGACAGGATAAGGCAGTGACTTAGCATAACCCTGTCAGAACGGAAGTTATTTAGAAGTCACTCCTAAAAAACTTTTGTTCAGTTGACAGAATGGAAGCTACCTGAAGGACAGAGGGATTACACTTCAATATATACACCAAAAAAAAATAAACCTAGTATACTTTTTATTTGTCTTTTTATATCATACAACATAACAAGTTTGATTCGCAGAAAACTAGACCATGAAACAAGCTGCAAACTTGTTAATGTGACAGGTATGTTTAAGTTAAATGAATATTTAATAGGACCATATGGGAAGCTCTTACACCATTGTTTCACTTAGGGATTAGTCATTAGTCAGCTATTAAAGAAGTCGGCATAGTTTCTCAGAAGTGTTAAAATACCTAGAATTGACAAACAGAAGGACGGGAAAATTTCAGAGAAAAACGCAGTGTTTAAAATATAATAGATGAGCTTTAGCTTTGCATAGCACTGGATGTGGTGAGATGTCAGACAAAAAAGAACTAGTTGTGTTATGTGTCTTATAAGTTAAAATAAACTGTATAATAAATTGCATGATTGTTGCAACTTTAACAAGCACAATGTTCAAAGCTTGTCACATATAGTTTGATAAAAATGCATGGATTAATTATTATTGCTTCACATTTACATAGAAATCACTTTGGTCATGAGTCGCTTGTTGAGATATTACTAGGAGGTGTAAATCTATTGCCAACACTTTATAACAACTATACCTTAAGAAAGACTTAATTCATAATGAACAAGTAGTTTATTAAGAATGATTCAGGCTTAACTGCTACCCCCGAGTCTAATCCCCTAATTTTAAAGATAGTAAAAAATAATAAAGTAATAAAAAGTAGTTACTAAGCATGAACCATTCTTAACAATATTTATCCTCCATGAAATAAGTCTTTCCCCAAGCTTTATTAAATCTTTTATATAAAAACTGATTAAATCTATTCATTTTCCATAACATTTTTTAGGGTGATAATAAACTGTACAGTAACTACACATTAAATCAGGAACACTGTAACTAAGAATCATGGGAAACCAAATGCCTGACACTATGCCCCACAGTTGATTCTCAATCAAGTTGAATTTTCATTCATGACAAAAAGCAAATTAGAAAACTTTAAGGAAACAACTGCATGACAATATCCCAGGCATGTGAAGAATCCCTCAGTCGTCCAGGTAGAATCCGTGGCGAGGAGAAAATTCAGTTTGTTGACTGGACAAAAGTTAGTTTGTTTGAAACTTTTCGAAGCTCATCCAAACTGCTTCTTCAGTTCTGGTCAGAATGCTGGTGGACACTTCCTTATATCTGCAGGGAGGAGCTAACTAACTGAAACTAACACACCTACTTGTTTACAGTTTCTGTTAGTTAGGCCTATTTACCTGTACAGGGTGTGGGGTCTAATTAGCATAACAGTTCATGGCCATAATGGAGCTTCCACACCTCTGGACCTGACCTGGCTACACCTCTTGTTCTCTTGTTTGTTTTAATTTAGGTTTGAGGATGGAGTTGTAAATATGGTGTCTGAGGCCTCCATTTCTGTTTAGAGAAGGATTCTCTTTCTTTGAATGAAGTAGACCACATTGCTTTGTTTGTGGCTCGGTGTTTTGTCCTTTGGGTGGACCAGTCTCTGTCTTAGAGTGTTTGTAGGTTTGAAATAGTCCAGGATTTCATGTTGTCTGAAAATCCTCTGTAATTTTTCAGAAACACCAGCCATGTAAGGGATAGTTACTCCCTTTTTCCTGGGTTCTGATTCTCTGTTGTCCTGTTTTTTAGTTCTCTTGGTTTTGTTGAAGGCCCATTTTGGATATCCGCAAACAGAGAGGGCTTTCTGCACATGTTGTTCTTCTTGCTCCTTTCCCTCTGTTACTTGTAGGCACCACTTGAGCCCTGTGTTGTAGTGTCCAAATAACTCCAAGTTTGTGTTGCAGTTATGCCATAGTACAATATCACAGCAACAGAAAGGTCTAAGTGGGCAGGGCTAAAAGTTCAAACTAAAACATGTTCCTCACTCATGGTTTGAAAATGGGTACAGGCCCTTTAAGGTTATTAACAGTGCACCGGTAGTTGTCTAAATAAATCGATTCAAACGATGCACTAAATACATAATATTATGCTATATAGAAATGCAGAAGTTCCAAGTAGCTCGGCTCTGTCTCATTGATTGCCTTTACACAAAGAAGCTAGCATCAAAGTTCAAGCAATTGTGAATTCTGGCCCATTTTTCTACAATAACTTTGAGCCAATCAGGATGTAAGGCCACCCTGAGGCACGCATTTAGCATTTTTGAGCGGAGAAGATTTGAGGAAGTGAATAAACAGTGTGATGGATTGTGATGTTTTAGGCCTGGGAGAACTTCGGACTCTTTGAACCAAGACAAGACTTAAGGCATTTTCAATCACCAAGGCCATCCTCATTTCACTCATACTGATTGGACTGATTTCCACCACAAAAAATATATAGCAGCTCCCTCCTAAAATGTAGCTCTCAGAATAGTTGTTAAACTTACCATTACTTCCATGTTCTGTTGAGGTTCTGGGAATCCATGGACTGTCAACTTTCTGAGAACTGCGGGGACAAAGAAAAAAGCATTTCAGTAAATAAGCTCAGATTCATTTTGCTGTTTAAGTTTGTAAGATTTCCAAACAAGCATCACACAAGAAAGGGAGGTGCTCAGTGGTTCAAGTATTCGCCCACAAACCCGAAGTTTGATGGTTCAATTCCACCTCCGACTAGTTAATGCAGTTTCTGTGACCAAAGGCAAGCATATCCCTCATTTTCCTTATGTATGAATATGGTGAGTGATTGGTGATGGTTGGAGGGGCCAAAAGCACAGACTGGCAGCCTCATTTCAGCCGTCTACCCCAAGGCAGCTGTGGCTTTAGTAGTACTAGGTGTGTAGTGAATGAAAAATGACTACAGTGTAGTGCTTTGGAAAGCTTGTCAATGGAGCTCAGTGTAAAAGTAAGTTATTATTACACCATTGTAACCATATTTTACAGTCTAATGTGAGGCGTGTCAGCATAGATGGTGATTGATTATGCGATATTGTAATCTATAGTTGGTTCATGAACTTTTCTGTACAATTGTGCTTGCTTGCAGTTTTGTGTCAATGCAATTGCTTAGTTTCAGAGGACATCAGAACCATCCAACCAACCAAAAGGCCAATAATATTTAATGCAGATGGGGACAGCTAAAGTTCAACTCTAAGGTTCAGTCATTACTAGATGATTAAGCTAAGATTAGTGAATTTACCTAAGATATTTCATATGAGAATGCCATGTAATCAATGGGAAAAACGGACACTTGTCATTATCACACACTAGAATCGGAAAATCATCTATTAATACTCTGCAGCTGATGTCATCCAACATGCTCTGGTGATGTGTGTGATTTGTGTTGTTAAAGTTAGTGCTGTAAAGTCTGTCACACAAAAAATTTAAGTTAGTCACTCTCAGCTTTTTGTTGAAAATTAAACTTAAAATTAACTTAAACAGGACCAGGAATGCATTGATGACAGGCTCAGGTTTTGGCAGTGTGTAGAGATACATGTAGAACACCCCCAGCATGCTGTCACTGCAAAGTATTAATAGAATTTTCCACCCAAGTTAAAAATGACTAGAATAATGCAGTGATCGTCATTTTAAGATTAAACTTCCATCTCCTGTGTCTGAGAGACTAGAGCTCCGGTTCCCATTTAGAGCTAACTGTATTGGACCAAGCACATGGCAGGTCTCACAGTGGGTTGCATCTTCTCACATGTCTCAGGTGCACAGGGCTGAGCTGATGTGGCAGCTGTGGTGAGATGAGGGCTTCTAACAGTGTCATGTCCAGTGAGTCGTGTCAAATTGTGTATGTTTCTATGTTTATATCACAACTGGATAACATGTTTAGGTGCTCCAAGGGCACAGGCACAGATAAAAGACCTGAAGGGACTCGGTGCAATAATCTATTTATTTTATTTAATAAATGTTTTTTATTGGTATGGATGTGAGGATGTGTGTATATTTGTAAATTTTTACTGCTACAGATCTGCTCTGCTGAAGTTTCGTTGTATTTCATACAATGACAATAAATAAATCTATCTATCTATCTATCTATCTAGGCCGGTCAGGAAAACAGATTTAGAAGTGATATATTTCTGAAGAAAATATACATGATAAACAATAATATGGATTTTAATATATGCCACTGACACAATAACTCTAAATTTCCCCCTTTCCCTTGTAGTATTTATCGTGACAGGCCTAGAAGTAGTAGCAAAGTTGGTGCCACCTACTGCCTCCACTCAAATTTAATGTTTCTCCAGCGACTAGGTCAGGAATCAGAATACACTAGACGGTTTGCAAGAACCTGGAAGATGTAGACCGCGTACCAGCCAATCAGCAAAGAGCTGTGAAGCCATAACGTCAAAATCAAACATCTGTCTGGGTCCCTTTTGTGGTACAACACAACAGTAAACAAAGTGGCTGAGATGGTTGTAGACGAAGCCATTCATTCTGTGTTGGCAATGATTCCCGAGATCGAGGATTTAAAGCCAGAACCAAGAGAATGTTTGGTGAATTTTATCAAGGGGAAAGACATTATTACCCTTCTTCCTGTGGGAGTTGGTGCATTACATACATCACAACCAAAGAAGAGCGATTGGTTAAATAAAAATCTACCTGCCTACCGTTGAGCGAACAAATCCTAATGCAAGGTCAGACGGGTTCTATGAAGTGAAACCGGCTGATGAATCAGGCTATAGAAGTAGGGCTGCAAGATTAATTGCACTTAAAATTTGTACGGACACAATTAGCAAAGGCTGCAGTTTTAAAAGTACTATAGTTTCCTCCACAAACAACAAAATATCAAAACAACAAAAGTAAAAACGGCTAACCCTGTTGTTCACAAACATGTTCTGAAATTTATTCTTGTATTAGTTTGTTAGTTCATGTTTAAGTCTTTTTTGTCAATTCTTCTGGACGTGTTTAAAATGTGAACTCTGAACAGAATCCCAAAACATAAATAGCAAATCAGATCTTAATGCTTATGTGAAAGATAACAATTGAATATTTTTCACAAACTGTGCAGCTCTACCAGTAAGTCACGTCAGTTTTAAACAAAATGGATTTGCTTATAGATGGCTGGAACAGGGAGCCACAGACTCATGTTTTAATGATCAAACATGGACCAAAATAGCTCTTTGAAGAAGGAGCCAGAATCACCAGTAACCAACCACATATAGGAGACGGGTTCATGAACCGGAGTATTTTGTGCATTAATTATAACCGTTTAAAAGATGTAGCATGGCCTCCTGCTGGTGTCATATTCTGAGGACATATTAAATCAAAGAGAGCCCTTGTGGCTTTATGGCACGATGATTTTAGACGCAGGATCTGGCAACCCAACGTGAGGAGTTCAATCTGCTTTCGAATTGGTCTGAGAACCAAAACGCAAAAAAACAAAGAACTTTTGGCATAAATTAACATTACAACAGCTATTATTAAAATCATTTGAGTTTAACATATTTACTTTACATCTGAGCACACAGATAATAATGTTTTCAGATTGATGAAAAAATGCCATAGCAATTAACAATTCAAAAATAAATCTTAATAAATTAATTAATACATCTATCTTCGGAATGGTCTAAAGTCATCATAATGTTGCCTATAAAACACAATCCTGGAAAACTACTAGGAAATAAACAGCACCTTTGATTTTACTGTCACTTTTATGTGATATCTGTGTTATTTTTAGTTTTAATACAGGAAGAGACACAATTTCCACTAGATGAGATTGGGTCCAAGAGAGCAAGACAAGATGACATTTTAACAAAATGTATAATAGAAAACGGTGCAGTTGACAATTTTGGCCTCATCATTTATGATTTGTTTCATTTTGTATTTTTGGTGTAGCAATGCTTCTTGGAAATACAACTTGTCAATAAATTAACTTTCCAAAACTTAACCCGTTTTTTGTCCAGTTCAAAATCTCACAAGATAATTTTTCTTTTCTTATGGCATGTTGCCAAACAGAAGGCTTTCAATCGCTACAACACTGAAAGCCTTCTGTTTGGCTCCATCACTGTGTGGTTCGGCAACATTACAGATAAAGAGTCGAAAGCTTTAAAGGTTCTATATTAGGCAAAACCTACTCTTGTACACTTTAAGCCATGTTAGAATGTAGTTATCTCATGTAAAATATATCTGGAGTGGTGTTTTGTTTCATGCACACATTTGATTAATCCTTGTTTATCAGTCTGTCTACATCTCCAAAACTCAAAATGCTCCATTCCACCTTGTGATGTCATTTAGTGACAGTTTTCAAGTTAACAGCTGCCAGAGAGTTTTCTGTTTGAGAGAAGAACTCAGCCTAAATACTGCATGCAGTGTTTGTGTGTTAAACATGTGTGAATGAAACAGAACACAAGTCCAGGTCTGTTTATGATGAGGAAACAACATTAGATCAGAAAATAGTGTAATATGGGCCCTTTAAACAGGGTCTGCTCAGCCAGAAAAAGTAACCAGGGACCTGTCTGTCCCAGAGGCTCTTTACAAATGTCGACTTTTAAACCGAGTCCTTCAAATTCTACCTGACAGATCTGGCCATTCTGGAAGAGACATGCTCAAGCTGCTTCTCTTTAGAAGAAGGTTGCTGTTTTAAAGGTGCACTATGTAACTTTTTTGATGGGGGTCCGTCACCTGCTTGTTTCTGTGGATATGTCATCGCTCTGCTTGGAATGTTCCATAGTATTACAGACATTAAATAGCTCTACCTTACATTTTTCCAATTACAAGTGGCTTTACTGATCAAAAATCCCTAGAAAAACAGGCATTCTGACTGCGAGCAGGGTTGCCTCTCCACAGATCTGACCTGCAACTTGGTCTGGTTTGGTCTCCATGAAGCTAGAAAGGTTTAAGACCATACTGGGAAACATTCTGGAGAAAGCAATAACATCTTCATGGCGAAAAGCATCTGATAGACCCTCCACCAGAAAAGTTACACAATGCACCTTTAAGACTGAACAATGCGCTTTGAACTCTGTAGTACGTTAATATTTTGGCTCCTTAATATTTGTAGTTTTTTTAGTTCACATGTCACATGTCATAATTCAACTGTAATGATTGTTTGTTGTTTTTTTTAATGTCTCATGGTACACTTTAAGCTTTTTACACATGTTTTACAATGTGTTTTTTAACTACAAATGGCAAAGAAACAAACCTAACCCAATTTTGTCTTGCAAGATCTGAGGTGTTGTCCCATCTGTACAAGAGAGCATACAATAAAATGAACACTCTTTCTGTTCGTGATTGTGGCCCTACCTTTGAGTGAGAGCAGTGTCCTCTCCAGTGAGCTGAGAGCCGGCCCCTCCTCTCGGGCGTAGATCTGCTGGAGGAAGCAGTCGGTGTGGTGGCTCCACAGGGAACATGCAAAGCTGTAGATACTCGACGCCAGCTGCCGACACAGACACACAGTCAATAACACGCTTTTAATTAGACCATTATTCTGTAGCACTCAGAACACAAAGACTGAAAAGCTAGGGTTCATTATATTTATTACAGATTTAGACATTAGCTTATGTCTGATTTAGATCTAATTAAAATAGTGGTTGGGGCTGGACAACATAACACAAAAAATCTCTCTGTTTGATCCTTTCCATTTTATTTATTAAAGGTGTACTATATAACTTTGGTTGGGTGTCACCTGCTTGTTTCTATGAATATTCAATTGCTCTGCCCGGAATGTTCCACAGAATGACATTAAACAGCTCTACTATACATGTATTAAATTACAGGTGGTTTTGTAACTCCAAAATATCTAGAAAAGCAAGTATTCTCACTACGAGCAGTGCTGCATCTCCACAGATTTGACCTGTAACTTGGTCTGGTTTGGTCTCCATGAAGACAGAAAGATGTAATGCCATACTGTATAACAATCTAGACAAAGCAATAACATCTCCAAAAGAAAAGTTATACAATGCACCTTTAAGAGTGCAATAATTTCCTTAAAACAATCCAGACTTTGATCACTTTCCAGTCTGACCCAAAGAAGATTGTGGTCTCTTCCAACAAAGCCTGAACTCTGGTCCAAACCACTTGCTTTTACTGATAGAGGATTGGCTGTAGATCTCCGCATTAAAAGGACCCAAGCTGCTCATAGATGATCAGAAATGACTTCTATCTCACTAATTGCAGAGTCCTAACTAAAAGGTGAATGGTCACAGTGCTATTTTTATATAGCAACGCACTCAAAGCACATTAGACCCACTCACCCATTCATTAACACATATACCAGTGTACATCTTTTGTACACTTTTGTACACATCTGCTTGTTTCTATGGATATGCCATTGCTCTGCCCGGAGTGTTCCACAGTATGACATTAAACAGCTCTACATTACATTTATTCAATTACAGGTGGTTTTATAGGTCACAAATGCCTAGAAAAACATAAATTCTGACTGTGAGCGGGATTGCCTTTCCACGGATCTGACCTTTAACTTGGCCTGCTTTGGTGTCCAGATAGAAAGGTTTAATACCATACTATGCAATATTTTAGACAAAGCAATAGGACTGAAAAGTATCTGACGGACTCTCCACCAGAAAAGTAACAAAATGCACCTTTAAAATTACCATTTTAAAAAAAAGTATCATTTGCACAGCTAAACAAAACCATCTTGAGCTTGGATTTGAACATTGTCACATTAGAAGCTGGTTCAATATAATCCCACACTATGGAAGAGAAGCAATAATAGTTTTAAACCCAAATACATTTTCTCATTATGCTCCATAAGGGGAAAAATCTGCCTGGGGAAACTGAATGTTTTTTCATGTAATGCAAAGCTATTGGTGATATAGGTGGACTCTTTAATATTCTTTGCTTCTTCCTGCACCTACTTTTTTATCTCATGCACCTTTTTACTGTTATATGTCTAAGTGCAAAATAAATACATAAATAAATAAATAAATAAATATACTAGCTATATTTCTCATCCTGTATTATAGTGTAGCCCTAACATAAATGTTTAGAGAGGAGAGTGCTACAGTATGCAAACACAAATGCACTTGTGGATAGGACAGGTCATAAACAGCAGACGTCCCTGAGTCACTGTTCTCATTTTGAACTGAATGAGCGTCTCATTACACTCACAGCCCTAACATTATTTGGACCGGAGCCAATAACATCTCCGGAGCTCTCTGTAGAGGCAAAAGACCGTACATCATCAATGCTGCAAACACTTCTACTACCACTACATCTATATTACAGAAGGAAAACTTGATATTAACCAGAGGAAATCAAATATAAACTAAACTAAATAATACTCCTACATATTTTGTGTTCACATCAAATAAGCATTTATAAGTTGAATAAATAGTACAGCGCAAATGAATTGAAATGAAAATGCATTTTCAAATCGCAAAGGCTGCAGTTATTTAGATAATACAATGTTCTCTGCAAACAATAAAATTTATTGTGTTTTTATAGACAAATCTTGCAACTGTTTGGACCAGTACTGACACGTTCCGAAACTCAATGTTAACTTTAAATATAAATGCTTCTGGAGGTGTTTACAACATAAATTTTGAACAGAATCAAAGGTTTAAACATAAATCTCAAATCTAAGCAATTGCAATATTTAATTCAGATGATTCATAGATTTTTTTTTTTCCAAAATTGAGCATCCCTCATAAATAGGGCTGGTATCATTAAGAAGTTGCTGATACCATACATACCTCGATACATAGGCCACGAAAGAATACATATCTTGATGCAATGCACTTTTGATTATGATGCAGTATATTTCAAATCGATTTGATATGATCTAAATTTGTGGCTGTGATAACTAAAAGTCTTTGTTAAACCACTTCTTGTGTAAAGTTCATATGAAACACAAACATTTTAATCCTCAAAACAGTGAAAATGTCAAATGTGTCACATAAATTAGTTTTGGTTTTTTTTCTAAACAAGCAACAAAACTGTAGCTGTAACAAAATAATTTTGTAAAATATACCAAAAAATACTCTTGGCGGCATATCGATAGAGCAGCCCGTGATATCGATACTGTATCATCACATTAAACCATACAATATATCGATATTTTGATATAGCGCCCTACTCATAAATAGTAAATTCATATCTAATAATCTATACATAGATTTGGAAGCATGCCATTGATCAAAGGGGAAGTAATTTAGTTTAGTTTAGTTTTTTCAACATCAAACGGCACAAATGTATATTGCGATTCCATAGTGCTTACCGAATAATTTACTAAAAAGGTGTACTATGTAACTTTTCTGGTAAGAGTCCAGCACCTGGTTGTGTCCATGAAGATATACTGTGGAGATTGCTAGAATGTACCAAAAGCACGGCATTAAATGTGCTTATTATTTAATTATAGATGTTTCTTTCTTTTTTTTTATAATAATAAAACAATACAATAAAAAATATGCCTTCTACTGTAAGCAATCCCACGTCTCCACGAACCAGACCTGAAAATTGGCTTGGTGCTTGTCTCCATACAAATAGATACGTTTCATATCAAACTGTAAAAAATTCCAGACAAAACAACATCATCTGTGGTTGCGAACTTTCCACCCACTGCATCTTTAAGTCTTAAAAACTTAGCAGCTAGTGGAGGACACAGGTGCTGGTTCTCTTTAAAGACAGACTGTTGATGTGATTGACTGATGTCTGCCTTCAGTTATTAAGACCGCAGCGTTTGTGTTTGACTTTGTGCCTATTAGATTTATTTTAATAAGTTCCTAAATTAACTGAAGATAAAGAAAATGAAAAATGCAAGAAGTGTTAAAAACCTTGTCCAAGATCAGTGCGGAGTCAGTGGAAATGACTTTGAACACACATTATTTTCATGCCAATTATTTGCACAAGGAAAGCTGTGAGTGTGTGTTTTAATATAGACTTACAATGTTTGCATATCTGTTCTCATTACAGACATGGGGAGTGGATCGGAAAACACTGTTGACTAAAACAGGATAATCTCAAATCTTAATTAAATACCAATTTCTAAATTAACGCCAAATGCAAAACATGATTTTAGCCCGTGCCATGGACTCCACCCACTGCCCCGTTTGTAATAGAGTAGAGTTTGTTTTACAACTATACTGCAACCACAGCAACAAAGGTTAGACAAAGGTTAGATGTAAATGAGCAATTATGATAATCTGACTCAATTACAATCTGCAATGGTTGTTCATTAATATGCAAACAAACAAAATATAATCATCTAAAAAAAAAACACTTTCAAAATTTTAATTAGGAAGCAACATCATAAAGATCCAAGATTGAATTTGTAATAAACATAAAAACAAGTGAAACTGACTGAGTCTTTAGTATTTCTACCACGAAAACATTGTTCTGCCTTCAAGGAAACATTAATCCTGTATGACTTTTATAAAGGTCAAAGAACACATTTTTAGTCAGTCATTTTCTGACTTTATGGTACTAGGAATAGAGATGGTAATAATGACAATTAGAATGCCATACATTTGAATTGCACTTTATAAAGCTCTCAAAGTGAATCTACGGAGTCATTGCTCATTCCCTGCCCACACTTTCCCTGGGGTAGGCTGAAGGGGTAGACATTGCAAATTAGTGATTATGTTCATTTTTTATCGACAAACCAAATGTAGGTTGCTGTGCGTAGCGTAAGGAGACGAGGCTGATTCTGCCAGCGTAAACACTGGAGCTGGGGTCTCACAGTCCCACGTTTTGGTACTGGCACACTTCGTTGGAGATCACTGTACCATCAGTATCCTGGTTTTGTCATGGTGCATGTATACACAATATCCCGGTTACTGCAACATAAAGAGCTGCGCTAAACCTGCACGCATCTGATCTCTGAAAACATGAATCATCTCCAACGCGATATCCACGCAGAACAGACTCACCATCAGCATCACCATTGTCCTTTAGTCCGACAGAAGCTGGCCGCATCAGCGCACAAGGAAAGAGCTGTTTTTTTGCTTAAAGTTTATGCAAATGAGGCATGCGGTTTTAAGTTTTGTTTCTGTAAAAGTAAACACATGTGCGCAAAGATGCATTAAACAAGTAATAATCTCAAACGGCCTGATGTGGCTCTAGAGTCGTTATGGTTTATATGTTGTGAAGTTGAGTTTATTTATGCAGATTAGTAATAGTAATAATGATGATACTTATACTAATATAAAAACATTAATGATTAATTGAAAATCGATTGTTAATTCTCCCGACGATCGATTAAGAAAATTTTAACTGAATGCCCATCCCTAGCACCCACACCAATACTGGTATTTTGCTCAGATCTATGTCATTTTGGATCGGTTTGAATTCTGGATTGGTTATCGGTTCCATGGGTTCAGCCAATATCCTGGTTGTGCCTTTACATTGAGTTAATTAGAATATTTACTGCCTGATAATGTCTCATAATGTTTGAACTTTAGTCACACAAAGCTGTTC